GTTAAACCAAAATCCCCAGTCAGTTCACTCAGTGGCCATATTTGTAACATCTCTTGACAGCTATTTCCAATGTTCAAGACCAAGTCTCATCTACTTGAATGGGGAAATCATCAAATCTCAAAAACTGCTCGACATACTTTTAAATTTAAATGTTAAATCAGCAATAAAATCTGACTTGAAGTGGCCCATAAATTATGTTTCTTTTGCTCAAATAATGTTAAAAAAGCTTCAATGTCAATCCTCTGACATTTCGAGTTGCACTTTCTCCCATTCATAATAATAGGAGTGTACCATCTAAAGTCTTTGTTCAGACTTGAGAACTGAATGAACGATTCATTCCCTAAAGTCAGTTCACAATTTAGACTGAACAATCTGTTCATGAATCAGTAAATGTACAGAACTAATTTGACTTGAATTTCAGTTTGTTCATCCAGCGAAGCTACTGCATGTCTGCATGAATATGGCACACAACTTGTTTGAATTTTTCTTCTTTCTTTAAAATATCAACATTTATTGTTCCACAAAAGAAAGTAAGCCCTTTGATTTTGGAAAAACAGAAGTAAATGATGACAGAATTAACTTAACATTGAATCTGCTGTTAGTGACAGTTTTGCTAAGTTCTGTCATTTTTGCTTAGACACCAGCAAACCTGACGGTTTAATAATAAGTCACAGGCTTTTTTTGAACATCCAGGTGTTTTGTATGTATGGTAGCCTATTTATATCAAATATCATCCATACCACAGGTATGAGGTGTACAGTTTACCTCAACTGGTGAATATACACTCCAGAATATGTGTAGTGCGTAACATAACACTAGTCAGATGTTGTTTTTGTGGGATCTCCATGGAATTCTGTTCCTGTGATCTGAAGATGTTTCAGCACCACAGACAGCAGCAAATCCTCACGCTGTGTTCCAGAAGAACGTTATCCCTGACATTCCTGAATAATCATCATATTAATCCAAGCAAGGTCTCTTAATTTCAGCGGAATTCACCTTGAGCTTTAGGTAGATTATTGGCGACGCTGAAAACTATTTTCTCTTTCCTGTTATGCACCTATTAATTTCCTTTCTTTAACATGCAATGCAAAGAGAGCTTTATAACTGTTTTTTGATAGACAGTCCACTGTGAATAAAACTTAATATTCACTAGCAAGAATCTGTTATCAAGGAAACTGTAACAGCAGTTTTTGAAACGAACAAGAAGAACAAAGATCGTCAGTATTGGAAAAAGTGTTTTCCACAAGGTAAAATATGATGCTTGAGTTTGATGAACAGATGACAAAGTGCTTGTAATATATGAATTGATGCATCAAATATACTGCAGCAGCCTCATTGTTAGCTTCTGAAGGCCGCACAGTATAGAATAAACCTCGCAATACCTATGTTGTGATAAAAGGTATGTCTATTGTCTGGTTTCACTACTAGCCTTTGTCAGGGAGCACAGCTTGTTTTCCTCCTCTCCTTGAAAAACTATCTTCTCCCATGGGAGCCTGAGTCAGGCAGTAGTCACTCTTCACTCCAAGCGCAGCACTCTTTTGAAGACATAAATAGGCTGTGTGTTTACCTCCATCTGCAGCACTGAGTTGATGCACAGTGATCTATCGTGCTAGCTGTTAAAATTCAATTAGCTTTAGAGGCATGATGAGTTTTGATATGTTCGAAAGTTGCAGGATTTCACAGAACTTCACTGTCAAAAGTGTTAACATGGAATTGTTATTTTATGAATCTATTTCTTCCTCATTTGTCTCGTAAAAATGGCGTTTGTTGGTGTAACTTAATGTATTCAGGTTAATTCATTTGTATTAAATCATATTTGCTGTCATGGTTCCTATTAACATTTTCATTCAAAAAATGTATTTATTTATTTAATTAAGAGACACACATTTATCTAGTTCCAAACGTTTATGACTGTCCAACATGTTCAAAGGTTTGGAGGTTAGTAAGAAATACTTTAAATAATGAATGAAATTAATACTTTTGTTCAGTGAGGATGCATTAAATTTATCAAAGGTCACAGTAAACACATTTGTAATGTTAAGAATCTTGATAAAATGTATCACAGTTTCCACAAAAATATTCAGCATCATAACTGTTTTCAACATTGAAAAAAAAAATCAAATCAGCATATTGGGGCGGTTTTTGAAAAATCATGACACTGAAGACTGAAATGACTGCTGAAAATTGAGCTTGCCATCACAGGAATAAATTAAGTTTTAAAATGTTAAAATAGAAAACAAAAAAATTAAGTTGTTATAAATTGTAATGATATCAAATATGCATTTACCAAATAAATGCTGCCTTGGTGAGCACAAGAGACTTCAATCAAAAACATTTAAAAAAATCTTGCGGACCACAAACCTTTGAACCAGTTGTTCAGGGGATCAATAAAAAAATAAAAAAATACATTTTAGATTAACTTAAACACAAAAACATGCACAGGCAGCAATAGTGTGGTAAAGAAAGGCATTTTATTAATGCCAGCTTTTGTTATTTACAGTACCCGTACAGCTGGGCTATTAAGGGTTTTTGGACAGAGTGAGACATGTTGTAGTGTCATGACAAGGAACCATTTCCCCCCATATAATCAAAGGCCAGTGATGGATGCATGGCAAGAGCAGCTCTCAGCTCACCTATCCTGTCCACCTCCTCGTCCTTTTCATCCTCCACATGGTCTTTCTCAGGCAGCCTCCTCAAAGGAGCCATTATGCTGACACCAGTGGCAACATTCTGTCCTTCTGTGTTCATAATAGAGGAGAGGGCAGCGAGCAGCAGGTCTGCAGGGGTGGAGAGGGGATTTTAGCCACACTGCTCTGTTGGCATGCAGTGCGGACACTGCCATTTGACAGGATTTGGCTGGAAAATTAGACCCTGCTTCCGCCCCAGATGGCAGCTTTTAGCAAAATGGCTTTGAGGGTAGAGCTTTCTGAGAGAGAGACAGAAAAAGATGACGGAAGTCTATAAAAAGTCTGCAAGTGTTAAAGGGACAGTTTACACAAAAGTGAACATTTTTGATTCTTAACTTGCTCACCGTCATTGTCATTCTAAACCTACCTGTGTGATTATTAAAGCTACATATATAGCCTAGTTTTTAATATCTATATTATATATAAATGTTTTTGATATTTAATAATATATTTTATAAATTATATTACTATATATTTATATTAATGTAGTAATAGTAATAATAATAATAGTGTTAATAATAGTTGATTTTTCTGTATTTTCATTCCAATAAATGCAGCCTGTGTGAGTGCAATAGTCTTATTTTAAAAACATAAAAAAAATCTTAAGACCCCTAACATTTAAATGGTAT